TATTGGGATAATGGAAAAGAATAAATTCAGGTTATTAATAGGGCATCTTGCAAGGTAGACAGAGCTGTTACATGCTTCTCTCCTCCTTCACGTATCCATTACCCTATCAGACACCTCTTGTTGCTCGACTACCAAGTGAGCAAAAAGCGGTAATGGCTCTGAGCCGTGAATGTCTGGGATACCTGACAAGTTGTCTATGCCGGGAAGGGGGTCGATAGAAAGGTTAGGGAACTTGGCTGTCTCTGCGCCGCTGAGCCTCTACATGAGCCCTGGGGTCAAGCCCTCGCCAGTTGACTTGAGTGGCCAACATTTCACAAGGGAGGGCATCCTCTCATGTCTAAGAAAGGAACAACAACCATCAGCAGGCCTTGTCGTGCTGCAAAAACATTTGGATGTCCCCGCGCAAGCTTGACAGCTCTTTCAGCCTCATGTACAAGGGCTCGTCTCCGCAAAGTAAAGCACAAGTGCTCTCGTTTCGTGCTGGTCTGCAAGCAAGATGCACGGCCACACTGGTGTCCTCGACAGCTGGCCAGGAAAACAGGAATCAAGAAGTGCAATCGGCATGGTAGCATTGCTCAGGCTTGTCCTCCGTATACTGCTTGATCATCTTTTTCGTAGCGCGGATCCTTGAAGCAACATACGCTTTTGTTCGACTTTCAAGTCTTGTCGGATGCGCAGCTGCAGGCTCAGTGCAGCATTCCAGGCATTTGGGAACTTGACGCATGACATGCGCACCATGAAAACCGAAAGCATGGAGGCGGAAGGATGGCAAGTGGTGCCTCAAGATAGCGGGCCATGAGCACAAAAAAAAAAAAAAACTCAGCTTCCTTCATCACCTGCTGTATCCAGGACCAGGTCCAAAAGTGAAGACAAACAAAATGGAAAAACAATGGCCTGCCAAGTACAAGCTAACCTGACAGCGTCCCTGTTACGCATAGCATTGCTACCACCTGCAGAAAGAAGTAAAGTTCGGTGGCAAGAACGCCCAGCCAGAATAGCGCAGTGGTGTCAGTGACAGCTCGCATCGTTGCAAATGTCGTTTGAAAAAAGGCCATGAATGAGATTTCAGGAAAGCCTTGGTGAAGAAGCTTTTACGACCAAATACAAGCAGTGATTCGGGCCTAGCAATATACCTGCGTCATAATTCTGCAGAAATTATACGCACATACATCCAATGACGGCAGCAACAAGTAAGGGCCTTGCCAGGCCCCGCACAACCGTAAAACCCTCAAACCGGACTGCATTCTCAAATCCTTAAACTGAATTCAACTTCAAGTTATGCAAGATCCGTGCCGGAAGGCAAGGGTGCCTGATTCCAGGAAAAAATATGCAAACAGCATTCAACTCACACGAAGGCCATTTCCAACAGAATTGTCGCCACTAGGCGGGCTCTCCACCGCTTAACTTCGTAGGTCGAGGGGCGTTGTTCGTACTTTCTTATGATGCATGGTGGCCCGCACTACAAACATGTATGCCTGTATGCCTGCAAAGCTCGTATGTATGCCGAAACACTGCATGCCTGCCAGCTCTCGGGTGCAAGAGCCTGGTTTTCTGCCGGCTACGCCGTCTGCTACCCCAAATCTGCCGAGGCACTGCTCTTTGCAGTCTTTAACCGTAGCTGGATTCGTTCCCCGCATGCTGAGCATAAGCTCAACCTGAGCAATGTAGCAACCCAAGAATGATCCGACAACAAGCCGACCTGGCTCTAGTCCTGTGTTCCTGTGCTCAGGCACCCTCTCAATGCAAGATCTCTGAACTCTCACCCTGGCAAGACTGACCTGTCCAAACCCTAGCCGCAGCCCCTTTGCTATAATGCTAAGCAGGCCAAGAAGCAATTTCCGGAAATGTGATGCCATCCGTACCTGCATGTTCTTCTTCCACTGATGCCAAAACTGCGACTTCAAGTGCTTTCTTCTAGCCCTGTAGCCCGCAACCGACCAAAAACCGAAATGAAGAAGGTCCAACCGCAGCTTGCATCTGCTGGGGGATGTCCGAACTTCTCACGAATAGTCTGCTGCGGGGCAGGTGTGGTTTCTAGGTCTCCCTAGGCCTTTGAAAGATGGATCTAGATGCAACCGACATGTCACGGACAATGCTTGTCGCCGAGTGCCTCTACACAGCATCAGCCTTCCATGGGGTTCTTACTTGCTCCTCCTAGATGTTCTGCGGATCTGTTTGTCTACTGCTGCATTGTGAAGGCTGGCTATCTGAAGCCTACTCAGAATGTGTTGTTTGGGATGCTAATGTAGAAGTGCCATGCGCCCAAGCCTCTGCCACCTGAGGATGTGCCGCTGTGTAAGATCATAAAACGGGGGGTCCTTTATGTTGCAATCCTGAGCTTTTGGGCACCCTGCAGGTCTCACCATTTAAAACAGAACCTGAGGAATGACCACCTTGTCAATATCTCCAGAACATGGCCAAGTTGCCCTTGGAGAAATCCTCATAGACCACATCCTGCGCCATTAGGCTTACGACGACAGCAGCAGAACAAACATGCAATTCCTCTGCAATTGTGCACATCTGCCACTCAGTGCCAGGAATGTCATTAACACATGCAACTGCGGCCTTTACTTTTTCATGTGATGGAAACCAGCCCAGGCACCCTTGAGTCTTGCAACCAAGGGTCCAACATGTCTGCCATGGTCACGACGTCTACTCCGGAGTCTTGGGCAACCCGTCTGACACCTCCACGGAGCGCAACGTAACCTACACCTAACAGCCATGGCAGCAGCTGCTGTAATTGCTGGAAACTGTCATCCTGCAGCAAAAGACTAAGATCTCCTGCAACTCCAAGAACTGCTTAGTACTACTGGAACCTATGCCCGAAGAATTTCTGCACTGGACCTTGCCTGGCTCCATCATGAATTGTCCAAACTCCTCCTGCGTGAAACAGACGTCCTGCCACAAAGTACAGTAGACCCCACACGTCAACCTTGAACGAATGATAACGTTGGAGCTGTCCTGATGACGGTTTGATTTGGCCAGCTCCTCCCTGCCAGGTTTCGAAGCTTGACAAAAAAAAAAGCTTGCTTCAGTCAAAAATTGTGCGCAGACTGTGCAGAAAGTCTGGACCACCACAGTTGCAGAAACAGCACATGCCACGGGCCAACATCAAAGCCAAGGACAAATGATAAGCTAGCGATGGGAGAACACATTGCCTGAGCTCTCCGGCAATAAAGGCGGCAGCAAGCCTCTCCTGCACTGAAACCACAACACAAGGAAAGGTCGTTCGAACAGTTGACAGCAAGTTGACGACACCTTCTCTGACGCAGACACGGCACTCATCACCTAGAGCCAGTGAGTGAACACGACACGATCCAATCTTGAGAAGACGAAGGCGTGAAATCTGAAAAGGCAGCGATGACCGCGCAGACTAAGCTGCCGACATCTACCAGAACACCAACCAGCATGTACATGATGGTGAGGGATGCCTTGGCCGCGAGATTCCAAATAAGAACTCAACTTGGGGTTTCCCCAGAATTAGGGGTACCTTTTTGAGGGTCCCTATAACAAGGACCATAATACATCGGGGTCTATATTGGGGTGCCCTGATTTTGGGAAACAACTCAACTTGTTGGAGTGACAAGAGTCGCTATACTTTTCGCCTTGGCCCCGACGTAGCCTAACAGAATGCTACAATCATGTAAGCCATGGGCCACGGTCTAAACTCCTAGTAGCTGCCTTAAGAACCCCAATAGAGTTTTCTAACCCCATCAAATAGTTTAGACTGTGGCTCATGTGGGTCCCCGTGGCCAGTCCGCACTTTTTTCCGGTGGGCACTAGGATCTTGCCATCGCAGCCTTCTTCTTCTGCAGCGCTGTGATAATGTACTGCCCAGTAGGGGACTTTTTGAGGTCCTGGGCCGCTGCCTGGCAATTTGTCCAAACGACATGGAGGTTTCCCAAAATTGGGGGTACCGGGTACCTATTGGGGTCTGCTTATCTTCTCGGTCAGAGCAGCACTGCACCTGTCCTCGAGTCGCTGGCACAGCTCCTCCCAGTCGTGGCCACGGCTGTACTCAATGATCCGCTGGACGGTGTAGTTACCAAAGCGGTCCTCGAAGCTTGCATGTCATGTGCTGCAGACTAGGTCGTTGAGTCCTTCATGAGCTTCGCAATGGGTGCCGCAGGATCTGAGGAAGCGCCCAGCATCGCGCGCATCAGCGCGGATCTTGCACGGGAATGATGCAAGAAAGGCACAGCAATATCCACACGTGCCTTTCATCTGCCAGCTCTTCCGCATGAACGCCAATCGCAGTGATTTCGAAGCACTTCTCAACCACATTGCTGGAGACCTGAAACCAAAATTCTATCAGATAGACCTTGTTCACGTGGTGCCTTTTAAATTGCTCACCTTGTTCTTCGAGAAGTCAAGTATGCTTCCCCGAATGGCCTGTCAGAACATGTTTACCCATCAAAAGGCCCGTGCTGCCTGCTGAGCTCCCCTCAAGGTTTTGCTTGCCTGGACTATCTTGCGCTTGTCCTCTTCGCGCCCCCGCTCCAAGACACATTGGATCACCTGTGACAAGCACAAGAGCACAAAAGCTGCCTCCACTGTGTGGGTTTACATTTGTCATCTGAGCCATCCTGCAACACACAGGTTTCCGAGGCACATAATTCGCATGGTTGTCCTCCAGGAGTGTGCGAATCATGCTGGCCACGTTTGCTGTTTACCGCCGCTTAATCTGTACATTCACTGCAAGTAGACTAGCTTTTGCAGATCTGCAACTCCGCACAGCGCGGCTGTAGAAGTTTTTGGCATCAAGGGTCAAATGGCTTGCCCAGGCCGATTGGAGGAAACACTACTCAATATAACCCCAATATATATGCTATTATAATATAGTAGTTTCCATTTTCTTTTCCATTATCCCTATATGACCCCTATATCTTACTAGGTTCAAGGTGTTCTCTTCAAAAGGTGCAAAGTGTCGGCTCCCTCCGGGTCATTTCTTTGCGGGCTCCACTCTAGGATGCAAAATGCTTGCTGAGTTCATAGAGGCACAAGCACCAAGAGCTTTATTAGCAAGTCCTTGGCGAGCTTCCCGGCTGAAGCAACAATGGGATCCAGGACAACTGCAAGCTCTTCCGCATCACAGTTCTCGAGGAGTCTCTGGATAATCCGACATCCAAACCTTGAAGGCTGGTTAGAACAAACAAACCTAAACCAAAATGGAAGACGACACCTGGCCGAACATATGGACACGCCCCATAAACAAGCCGGAAATCTAAGCAAGTCCTGATCCATACCAGGTTGCATGTGCGCAGCCATTTCCGTTGCCTTCGCGGCAATGGCGCGTATGACAAAGTCGCTGGCATCCGTGTTCATGTTTTCCACGATCTTCTGGACAACATGATTGCCTGAATTGCACATTGCCGGGCATACGCACTTTCACGCTTGTTCTCTAGCGTATCGCCTCTGGTCAGGCTGCATCTCCATCCCCACATGTCCGAGCATGTTCTGAGTAAGTGACCATGACTGTCGTAAATGCATTGGACGACCTTGTCCCGGAGCTCTGCAGCGATAGAAGCCTTGTGGTGCGAGGGGAACACCTCCAGCATCTTCTGGATGACCCGACAGCCGAACTTATGCTCAGACAGCTCAAGCACCTTGGGTTGAGCTACGACAAAGGAGACCTGCCCAAGCAGCTCCACTGACTGCGTCCCAGCCGCATGGCCTTTGACTCTTGAATGCATCACCTAGGCCCACAGCTCCATGCATGTGTCTTGATGCTGGCAGAATGAGCTGTTGAAATTGACAAGGACTGCCTAATACCCGTTGAACCCTGCGCATGCTCATGTCTAGCTTGAAGCCTATCAGAGCCCAATTTGTGTTCAAAGCTCCGAAGGATCCTGATGCACTCACGAGGGCTGGTTTCTGCGGGCGTCACTGGTCTAGCTGACACGGCCAACTTCAGCAGCTCTATCGATGCACTCGGTGCGTCCAACACTAACCAAGTTAACTAAGTATACTTTGATGATGCTTTTGGAAGGTTGCCTCAAGCTGTTCGGGCGTTCCGTACTCCAGGAGCTTCTGCACCACAAAGTTGCCGAAAGCATCGCTGGACAGCTTGACCTACAAACTGCCGGGATCCCGGAGCTACCCCCTAAACTGCTTCGCTCCTGATCCCCACACATGGTCGGGCCGTCTCAGGCATTGCCAAGTCGTAGATCTTGGCCTTTTCCTCCTGATTGCAGTTGCCGGCCAGCTTCCATTGCAGGAAGCGGCTTCCCTCCTGCTCCTTCCGATCACAGAGAAGAGCAGTTATCCAAAGGCACGTCAGTCGCAAACAATACAATACACATACGGTACAATATAATGCAACACCCTACAGTTGAATGCGCTACAAAACAATACAATGCGTCACGCTTCCTACGTGCAGCATCAGGTACCCAGATAGGTAATCAGTGCAGCAAGCGTACCGGGCCTTCGCAGCCTTCGTAAGCCGCGGGAAAACCTGCAGCTGCAGGGAATCCAAGAGATTAGGCACCCGCGTCAGTAGGCAGACGACTGCTACAAGAGAGATTTCAACGGTGAATGCAATTGAGAGTTGGCTGGCCTCTGCTAAAGTTAGATTGATATCGGCTCCATTTACAATGGTGCCCGAATCATCCGGGGAGTCGTCGCGCTTGCGCTTAGCGCGACTTGAGTCCTCGCTTCGCTGCAAGAGGACAAGCCGCTGTGTCGCTGGACATGCCAACCAGGTTCAAACCTTGAATCCCAAGAATCCTCAATCCCTCAGCATTCGCAACAGCCCAGTGTCCTTGCCCTTCTTCGAGCCCTTTCCACCTCTGGGCGACCGGCTCCTCCCGCATCACGGACAAGTCATCAGGGGCATCAGGGGCTGTGCTCTTGCGCGCATCATTGCTGTATGTATCGCAGCAGTACAACGCATGTCACGAAGGGAAGCAACCTCAATACACAGAAACTTGTCTTCAAAATTGAACCTGTAGGGCAGAGTCCGTGGAAAGCCTGCTGGACCAACACTCCAAGGTTACTCAACCCCGAATCCAGCCCTGCAGTGAGCTTGCACTGCCTCCTCGCAGGCTCCCTGACAGGACATGGGACATGGGACTCTTTCTGCACCAGCAAAGCCGAGAAAATTGAAGCTTTCAAAGTCACAAAGGCTTTGCATTTGTCCTTGAGATTCTCTCTTTCAAGCTGTGATCTGGATATGTCCTTCCCGCCTGTCGGACGGCGCTGGGGGCGGATAGCCAGGTGGCGGGTAGCCAGGCGGCGGGTAGTGAGGTGGGTAGCCCGGTGGTGGATATCCTGGCAGAATCAAATAGTGCCCTCTGTTAAGCGACGAACTAATGCTGCGACACATGGCCAAACAGAAAAAACGACTGCCTGGTGGAGGATATCCAGGAGGCCCGTATGCGTGTGGTGGATGCGGCGGATAGCCATAACCGGGTGGTGGATAATATCCTGGATATGCTGGTGGTGGGTAATGATGCCTTGCATAGGGATCGTAATGTGGATCATACCCGGGATAGGACCCATAAGGCCCATACGGGTCCCTGTACAAATCCTCATACCGACGCCCATAGGCATCGTAGGCACTTCTCGCTGGCGGCGTGCTTCCATAAGGATCCCGGTCGGAAGCTTCACGTCGATCTCGGTCCCAGGGTTTCGGCTCACGCTTCAACTCCTGCTCATGGCTCGCGGCACTTTGCTCGGCCATGCCAAGCCTAACCCCCTGGTTGGCAAGTGCTAGGGATGGGCGTGCTGTGGTGTGTGAGGAAAGAAGAGCTACCGGTCCTAAGGGGTTCAGTTTTGTGCGGCATTTGCAATCGTGGACAGGGCATTGAGAGGCAAGCCTGCTGTGAATTGCGCAAGGGCAGGGTGCAGGTCACATGTGCATGTTGCATCCATGCTGAAGGCGTAGTAACACACAGAAACATTGCAGTGCTGGTCCTACGCGGCGACTTATGGCTGTGGCTACAGGCGCACAGTGAAAAGGCTGAACACTCCAAAGCACGGCAAGAAGATGCAAGAAGCGGAGACTGGGGGCGTCGTTGCTCTCAAACAGTCCGATCTCTAAGGCATTTTTTCCAGAGCGCGTCTGCAAAGGCGACACATCCTGCTCAAAGGAGATGCAGCCTAAGCATTCTGGCCCATCCGAGCTTAACTCTGCAAGGCTCGCGTGCCTGGTCTCCATTGCGCGACGGCTGCGAAATGCCACGAATCACTTGGCACCAGAGAGATTCGATTTGGCCTCCAGGAGAGCCTCAACCTGGCTCAGACCAAAGGCGTGGAACCACATTGTTTCGAACGCTCAAGGTAAACATTGGTGTGGAGAAGCTGCATTGTAAAAGCGCCTCCTCTGCTCTGGCCCGTTGCCTCGCATCGAAATTCTGCACGGTGAAGTCGCAAGTCTCGTGGAGGTCGCCCTCGAGCCCGGCCAAGTTCTCGACTTCGGCCTTGGCACCTTGAAGCAAGGATCAAAGCGGATTACATCTGAGTACTGAAAGGCTTCACTTAGCGGAGCCTTTCTCAGACTGATGGGCTTGGACCATCCTCTCCGTCAGCTTTGCCTTCTGCTCAGCCTCCAGGGCTTCCAATGCTAGAGTTTGCCACCTGCCGCCTGAAACACTACGCCTGATCCTCAAGCTCCTTGCCCTTGGTGGCTAGAGCTGTGTTGGTTTCCTGGCACCAAGAGAACGTATCAGCCCACCTTTCGCTACTTGCAAACCAAAGCATGAACCAATGCCAAAGCGAATTGACAGTTGGAAACCTCACCGTACGAAACAGGTTCATCTGTGATTCATGGCCGGCATAGGGCGAGCAAGCTAACCATGTTATTTGACTAGCACGTCGGGTTCAGCAAACAGCAGAAGGCCACCGACTGCCAATGCTCCAGAAATGTGAGAAGTCTTTTGGCTTCACCTCACCCAAAACTCCGACCCGCCGCCCTCCCCANNGCCCCCCCCGCCCCCCCCCCGCGGCTTCGGACAACTCTTTGGAACAGGCATTGTGATTGAATGGCACAGCCAAAAATTACCATCGTTTACTTGCTCATGCATCTGCTCACAATGATTCTCTACCAAACTGAGTGCGTTACCATTGGGTTTGGGGAAGCTGTCCATCCGGATATTAAACTCCCCTCTGATCCTATTCACTTCTCATACTTAAGGGCATCATGTTGGGCGAGTTCATGATGGGCTTACCCTACGGGTCCCACTTTCTTTATAGTAGGATCTAGCATGTCCATGTCATGGCCTTGCCGAAATCCTCGTAATCCTTCTGCGCCTCCCGCTCTGCTGCTGTGGACTCTGCTTCCATCTCCTGCTGCCCAGGATTCGGTTCATATCGTGCCCTTTTCCCTAAACCTTGATATAGGGTTTATGTGGATTTATATAGGGATTGGATGTGGATTGTATAGGGATCCCCCCAAGCTTAGCGGGGGGAGATAGGAAATGTAATTGCAATGTCCACTCCCTCGCGGACGTGAAAGCACTAATTGTAGGATCCTGTGTTGGACTCACATCTTGCAATAGCGTTTAGGGTTTATGGTGTCTGCGCATGACGATACCTGCACAACCCGCCAAGATCGAATGAAATTTGATATGGAAACTAGGGTTATACAAGTTACGCAGGAAGGCACTGCATGGCATGTGGAAGTTGCCATGGCACAAGACTTCAAGATTTGAGCTCTTGCTGCACACAGCCATCAGTTTCCGCGGTTGCGAAGGCCTACCGTCCGCGGCCTGACACAAACTATGTTTGCTGATCGTGTCACTACTCATGCTGTTTCGTGCTGCTCGCGTCTCCTTGGCATCTGCGACAAGCTGCTGCAGCATCATCATAACCTCAGACCAGCTTGAGGCCTCCAAGCTAAGCGTTGGACCTGAGATTCTTAATGCTCGGCCAGGCAGCGCCGTTGTTGGCTGAGCTTTTCTTGTAGCTGCGGAAGGTTTCTGGCTCTTTGGGGTGGGCCTTCATCAAGCACAGTCAGCATTGCAGGTACGACTGCTGCCGTCTGGTGGCCTTCTGGAGGAAAGAGTCATCCTCCTTCTTGTTGTAGAAGGCTGCTAGGACCCCGAGGGCCTTCTTCAGCAAAACCTGCCAGGCACTGCCTGCTGCAAGTCATGATCATTACCATGAGCCTGAGGAAACAGCATGCTTGCACTTACACCAATTTATACCAACTTGTTCACTTCATCAAGGTTCAAAGATGATGGCAGCGAGCACACCTGCGTCTGACGCTGCTCATCAACAACTTTTTGGAACTCGCTGTTCTCCTTCTCCCTGTTTTGTGCAGCCAGCTTCCTTGGCACGGCCAGCATCGCAGTGCTTGCTCAGAATGACCCCATGTAACCTCTTGACTTTCGATCTATGGTCAACCGTCTCCCTGCCTCCCCGTCTCTCCCGACTCTGCCCTACGCACCCGGAAGCGTGCCCCAACAGTATGCCCTCAACCTCCCTGCAAACGACTCCGTACGAGTAGCAAGACTTCAGCTCCAGTAAATTTGTGAGTATACTCACTGAAAGCGTGCGCCCTGCAGCCGCGCGGCTGCTGCTTCTTCAGCTCTGCAACTTCACCCTGAACAAGAACAACAGGTTTCACTAGAAAAACGACTTGGGGCGGGCCGAGTGTTGCTCAATTGGCCTCGACTCCCTTCATTTGCAGATCGACGGCTTTGACCTTCTGCTTCAGGTCCTGCCCAATATCTCTAACATGTGCTGCCGCTTGGCACCGGGGTTTCATGAAATCAGAGTCTTCGAACAAGCGCTGCAGTGCCTCCGCCGCAGCAGAGAAGCCTTCGCTCTCGCGCTTCTTGTCATCGGCCGCCAGCCTCCATTCGATCTCAGCATAGACTGTGTGACGCCAATGCCCAGTAGTCCACCAGCCTGTTTTTCTGCAGCTCCTCGATGCAGTAATCCTTCTTCTTCACTTCTGCAGCCTGCTCCTCTTTCAGCGCTGCAACCATGGAGTCAATCTGCTTCCGCACCTGGCACTGATGCCATGTACATTCAGAACGCAGTAGCTGAGACGTGCTAGTTCTGGCAAAGCGGCCGCGCGCTTTTTCCAATCTAGCAACCGAGACAGTTGTTGCAGCAACCGCGGGGAGCCCTTTATGCTTCGCTGGCCCCACTGCGCAAACTCATCTAGCTGCGCCAGTAAAAGTGCACAGCGATTGCCTCGATTGATTTGCCTCATCGCTTTGGATGAGCCACAACTTCCAAGGCGGGTCGTCTGATCATCTACCCGCAGGCCGAGGCTGTCAGGCACTCGTGAACCATCAGGCCAGAGCAGTTCACCATGCTCAGAGATGCAAGGGTAGTGAGAGTACTTCTGTGGGTTTGCAGCATTGAGCTTGCATAGCACTGCCAGATTGGAAGAATTCACATCCTGAGAAAAATTGTGCCATCAAATATAAAGCTGACTCATCAAACCCAGCTAAGCTGTTGCAGGCCAAGTGTCCTCCCCTACTCGCAGGTGACCGGATTCAGAAATCAATCGCTTCTCGAGGGCGATCTTGGAAGCTTCAAGATAGCCACTGAAGTAACGAATCCGTGGGCTGTCCTCTGCCTGTATATTCATCACTCAACGCGCGGTCCTAACTCTTGTGCACTGAAATGCATGTATGCAGAGCATCGTGGAACCTTGGCATCAGCCACGCGGTGGATAAAGGCTGCGACGAAAGGCGGCCCAAACGAGGCCATGTCACGGGCTGCCTAGCCAAATCCCCGCACCCTACAGCCCAGCGTATGATGATCAGCCGATTCAATGCAGCCATAATTTCATAAGGTAAAGACTGTCTGCACGGAGACGGTTGAAACTGTGCAACCTGTGCAATGCTTGCATGCCTGGACATCGCCTTGGCCATTGTCGCCCAAGAAAATGGCCTGCGTCTACAATTCACAAGCTGGTACGCAAGAGACTCCACGACAACAGGCCATGGCCTGTTGTTGGCCCAAATCCTTTCCCAACACTTCCTGACAAAGAGAGGCAGAAGGCAAAGCCTGTGGAAAACATCTCCGCACATGGACCCCTGCCTCCCAGTTCCTAAGTTTGGTGCGCCCGAAGGGCCGGAAGTCTCCAAACAGAGCTGGGAGCACATCTCGGAGACGACCATATTTGGAGCCTGGCTACTTCCGTCATTTTTTCAGCAGTGAGCGTGTCTGCATTGCATTGATCGGATGATGGGCTCTTATCTGCAACGAAAAACCCTTCATGCAGTACCAGTACTACGATGCACTCTGCAGATTTCAGCCGCTTCGTAATCAGGACATGCGGACGCAGATGTACCTTCCTGGCCTTCGAAGTCAATGCCCCAATTTGGTATTGCATTAGCTCGAGCGACTCGGCGAAACTCCTTTGCAACCTTGCAGGGATCTGTCCGAAGGAAAGCTTAGGTCTTGGACCGCGCTGACTGTCAGCCATAGGCTGCAAATTTGCATCTCCCTGCAACCTTGCTGGTTGGCTTCATGCGCAGGAAGCCAAGCCTGCAGCTGGCAACTGCAAATCAGAAAGCCGACAGCTAGCTGAACAGAATCGAAACGAAATGCGTCAGGAAGCTTTTCTGGCCGCGCTGAGAGAAGCCGCACACTTGGAGGCGGCCTGGAAAACTCTGCAGCTAGCAGGGCAAATCTCATCCCCTGCCTTGTGTGCCTCTCCAGCTAGCGCAGCTACGGATTCACAACGCAACCGTCCTGTCACTGCTCCAGGAACTCTCGCCGCGGCCACGCGAGAGCTCGAGCATGAACTGCACCGCTCCCGGATAGATCTCCTTCCTTGGAGGTCGTTGCAGACAGCTTACAGTGAGAGAAACCTGGAGCCCGGAGAAGAGGCCTGTGTGATCCTGTGTGGCCGGCGTCCGGATGCATGGTTCAGGTCCCAATGCACCCAAGGATCCGATAACCACGCTCGTCGACCCCACCACCGCGCGGCCCTCCAGAGCACTTGATGGTGTCGTCAACGTCCGAGAGGATCCTCAGCAAGCACAACTCACTGGGCAAGTTCTTGCCTTCGAGGCAGTTCCGGCTGCAGGTCAAAGGCGTTGTTTCGGACGTGAAGCACATCTGTCGTCCCAGGCGCTGGGCGCCAATGGAGCCGCGCCACCACCGAAGCAAAGCGCCCTTCAGGGAATTAGAATCTGAAAGCTATCCTAGGCCTTTTGCGAAAGTGTTCATCCTACTGCAAGATTTTGCATCTCTCCTAAAGCCCGTACTGTAGCAAGGACCTTCCAGCCTTTGCGAAGCGAAGCCTCAAAGTTGGTGGCGTGGCACTGCGGGCGATGCATCGATGTCTCAGTCTTCTCCAGTGCCTGCAGGAATAGTGAGCTTTGAACATATTACGCTGCGGCCTTGTTGTAGAGTTACAACATAAAGCGCGACCTGCAGCACTAAAGGCAGCATCTATCTCCAGGACGCGCAAATCCGGTCTAAAGGTCAACAAAACCATATGATGCATGGCCTCGCTGGCATCTCGGAAACCCCCTGAAGCTTCGGTGAGATGAAGCCCATCACCTGCTGAACGAAAAGCTTGGTAGTTGATTTGGGATTCCACCTCAGAAGCCAGTGGACATCTCATCCTGTGAGTGATCCGAATTATGAACCGGCCTGTGCAGGTTCAGGCCAAGCATTCCAAAGCAACGCCAGCAGGCCAAGCAGCTCAAAATGCGAAAGCCGCATAGGCGCATGGGAGAGATTGGGGCAAACAAAGGAAGTGGTAGATAGAGCTGTGTGGTCTTACCGTCAGGAGGGGAAAGCTAAAGTCGGCGTGCGTGTGTGGTTTGTACTCATTGACTGCCAGCACGGGCTGTCAAAGCAAGCAACTGCAAAATCATGGTACAAATGCTGCACCTCCTCAGAAGCATGATGGCAACAGCTGCATACCCTCTCACGACACACTTTTGGCTGCAAATAAACAGTGTCTCGGGTGACCTTCAAACTAACAAACTGGACAGCGCCTCAAAGACCGCTGCCCGCACCAGAGTAGGAGCCGTAGAAGAAAA